TGGTCCAATGAACCGCAGCGCTGCAGCTGGAGGCCTGCTGAGGCCCTGCACTGATCAGACGGGCCTGCAGCGAGCAGAGGCTGAAACCTGACTGAACAAAACAAAACATCCATAATCCGCACAGATATGGACGCGAAGTCAAAAGAAACATTACAATAAAAGAGTCGACTACTGGAAGTAAATGAACATTTAACTGAACAAACATTATTGTTTAGATTGTAGATATTTGCTGATAGTGTTTGGGCCTACAGAGAAGGCCTTATAGGCTTCCATCCTTCACATGACTGATTCTTGAATCAATCATTTGAATTTCCACAACAATTATTTATTATTATTATTGTTATTATTATTATTATTATCATTGTCACAATTCTAATTGCAGTTCATAGCATGACAAGATCTCTGAGGAGAACAAGAACATTTCAGTGAGTGTGAATCTTAGTGTCTGAGGTGGAGGCAAAAAGAACGATTCTGTTTCGCATCTCTGTCGTTAGTGTTTTAAAAATGACTGGCAAAAGCTGAATTTATGTTCATTCTTTAGGTATTTTCACTTTTATTTTGAACTAAAACACATATAAACCAAGAGTTCCAAGGTGAAAATATTTAAATTAGACAGCACAATACCACTTTCTTTTTTACAATCACAAATCTTTACATCTACTAAATCACTAAGACAAAGTTAAGAGGTTTACACTGGCACAACAATTAAGAGTTTAGACACCCAATATTGTCATCTTTTTTTCACATATATTAAGACAATTTTATCACAATAACTGCAGATTCTTGGCATGACTGTAAACAGGATCTTCAGTAAGATTTTATCACAGTTTTACATTCATGGTTTGCACAAAGCAGTGGTTCCCAAAGTGTGGGGCGCGCCCCCGAAGAGGGTACAGTGCCATTGTGCCCCTCTTGAAAAAAGAAAACTAGTTACATCAAAATGTTTCACTGTAAAGATGGTTTTTAGTTTGTTTTGTTGCAACCTGAAGTGTGAAATAAACTTCAGTGGAGTTTGAAAACAAAACATGTGTATAAGTTTATGTCTTTATTTTAATCCATAGAGGGCCCCAGAAATGATTTGGGAACCACTGGCATAAAGCAACATAACTTGTAATTAACTGAAGTTCTCAAACCAAATGCACAGGTTTCTCAAAGTCTTCACATTTAAAATATTTCAACACTAACACATTTTAAAACACGGCTGTGAAAATACACGTTTTCAGTCTCTATTTTAGCTGCTTCTTTTAGCTACCACACAAAAATGCCACACAGCATTGAGACGTCACTGAACCTGAGAACGAAATAAGAAATCATCACATTAAAATTGCTCATCATCATGATGTTAATGTCAGTGCTGTATACAGAGTTGTGCCTGACAAATGAACACCTTCATGAGCAGAAAACACCTTTAGGAGAACATTTAACATAGTGGTTCTATTTTGTACATGATGAACTTGAACTGAACACAACTCTTCCTGTTATTTCAGAGACTAAAAGAAACAAACTCAGAAACTTTTCACCAAACTAAATCTGGCAACTTCTGTGACTTAGTGCACGTTTGAGTGTCTGTGTGCATATCTGGTTCAGAATGCTGTAATTACATTTATGTCTCTGTGGGGACCTGACATTGATAATGTAAGCATTTCTCTTACTTTAAACTTGACTATATTCATGAATGCAGAAAGTTTCTTTCTATGGCTTGCAGTTCTTTTAATAAGATCATAAAAGTATACTTCTATGCTTTTGTGCTATAACAGTTTTTTTTCTCTTTGCATAAATTAATGAGTAATATAAAGCTGCTACATTTCTCTCTTGCTCATGATAAACACAAATTTAGCTACTTTGGCACATTTGAGGTTGCATAGAAGCCAGATGGCCACTGGGTAGAAAGTAAGGAAACCTCCACTACTGTAAGAATGTTTTAATATTCCACTTTTCAAGCACTGCCCAGCATACCAGTTAAATAGTCGATGCAGGTGATACTTCAAGACTAACCAGCTAAATTCAGCTCTGCTCCGAGTGAGTGGAGAGCTGAGGCTCAGCGGTTATGAAATTATATGCTGCAATATATAAAATCTACATTCAATGTACTAGTGTGCAACACTTACAATTTGTTGTCTGTTTTGGTGGATTACACATGGAGTAATTAGCCATAAAATTGCTTTGTGTTTGAAAAATGTCACATTTGCATCTTCAAAGTGTCAACAGATTTTAACCTAATGATGTGAATTAACTGGTGAGTGGATATGCATGCATGTTTTAAAAATTCTAGTATAGATTTTGTCTGTTTTAAGGTGAAAGAAATGCTTCTTTAACAGGGCTCCATTATAAAACTCATACATTGAAGAAAAACAGAAAAACATGCCCGTCTTGTTGGACTATTAGACCGTAAAGAGCCAAACAGAACGATGAGAGGATGCAGGAGATTTCTTTGTAGTCAGTATATACAAGCTGAGAAACGAATCAAAGCTGAAATAAGATGATGAAGGTCTTTGGTGATCAAAGATACAACGCAACACAGTAAATGTGTGTGTTGTATGTTTTTTGGTTAAAATTTAAATTTAAATAAAACATTTTGTGATGAGATTGTTATGCAACAATTATTATTATTGTGCACAGAAAAGGCATTTTTAAATATCCATCCATTGTCACTGGATGGATTTTAAGGGTGAGAAACAAAAATCATTTCTCACATGACTCATTTTCATTCTTTGATAAAAAACTAAGTATTTTTACTTCCATACTGGTACAAGGCAAATGCTGGATAGTAGTGTTTTTAAAATCTAATCATTTTTAAAAATCTGATATGAAATGCATATATATTTGTGATTCTTTGTATAGAATTAGAAATATATTCTTTAAATATAAAAATTACGTGCAAATTATTTGTTTATAATTAGAAATATTTGAATTAGAAATTTGTAAAATAAAAATATTGTTGTTTTCATCCATAATTACAAAGTGTGCTCTTTTTAATTATTTCAATAAAGTGACATCTGCTTCGTCAAGATGTTTGGTTTGACAACCAATATTAAATTACATTCGGGTCGACGGTGGCCGAGGAGGTAGGCGATCATCCTGTAATCAGCGGGTTGCGGGTTCGAGCCGCTGTGACCTTTGGCCTCTCCTGGGGGTCGTTAGGGTTTCTGACCCCGGTGTGAAGCAGCCAGGCTTCATTTGAAAGCGTTTGAGTGTCCAGAGATGAGTCAGTTATCACTAACTGATATAAAGTGAGTTAAGCATTATTTGATTGTGCATTTCATAAATTATGCGCATACTTAAATAAATAAATTAATTAAATAGATATTTTTATTTAATGTATCTGACGTATATTAAAATAAATACTTTTTTCTTACTTTTTGTCACTTTAGCCTTGCAAATAGATTTGAACCCATCAGTGATGGGTTCTGGTTCTGTACACTGTTGGTCTCCTGCCTGTCTAATCCCCGTCAGAAAGGTTGATGTTCCTGAACCTCATCATCTCACGCGGCTGCTCCTGGTTCTCTCTGTGCTCCACGCGCCAGCGGAGCAGCTTGACCAGCGCCATCCTGAGCTCCACGCTCCACAGTTCGAGCACCAGAGGGTTGATGCAGGGCAGGACCAGCAGCATGGCCAGCAGGGACACGTGGAACCCCGCAGCGGACGCTGAGGGACCGACAAGACAGTCCTCCCGAGACCCGGCGGGCAGCTCGATGACCCCGGTCAACCCCAGCGCGTCCTTGACGAGCAGCGGCAGCAGTGGCAGCAGCTGCAGGAACAGCATCCGGCCGTAGAAAAGGACGGACCTCTGCGCCGCGGCGTTGCTCTCGTTGAACGGCACAACGGCGTTGCTGGGGTCGCGACCCATGCTGAAGTATGAGAAGATGTGTACCAGCAGGCAGAGCAGCATCGTGAGGAAACTGGATACTTTTCGGAAAGCAGCGCGCGGGGAGCCCAGGTGCTGCTCCAGGGTGTCCGGATCGCACAGCAGCCCCGCGGTGATGTCCGGGATGTTCTCTCGCCTTCCTTCACTCAGAACCAGACTCAAGCTGACGACACCGACGGCAGCAGAGCACAGCCAGATGAGGACGAGGACTTTCCTGACGCGCTCCTGGGTGACCGTCACCACGTACTGGCGGGCTTCGCACACGACCAGGTAGCGCTCCAGCACTGAAAAAAATAAGTCATTGGATGAACATAAAAAAATTATGGAAAGGATTTCCACCTGATTACTTTGCTTTATTTCAGCACCATGTACTTGTGTTACTCCTATTTAAAGCAATGTGTTAGGTCAACCTAATTTATTAAGATTATTCCAATGTAAAGCAAATGTGTTGGCTCCACTTGTTACAATGGTGATTCAATGGGTGATTCTAAATCAAACATGTTGGCTCAACGTAATATATTGTGGTTATTCTTATATAAATTAAATGAGTTGGCAAAACATAATTCATTAAGGTTGTTCTAATTTAAACCAATATGTTGGCTTAACCAGAATTATGGTAAGGCAATGGATGATTGTAAATCAAATGAGTTGGCTCAACTCCATTCATTAAGGTTATTCAATTCAAATGAAATGTGTTGGCTCAACATATGTTTTAAATGTTCCTTTAACTCAGTTACTATAGCGTGACCCAGTGTAATGCAATACAGCCCACCCAACTAATCTGCAATGTTTAGGACCAAATCATTGATGTAACTTCATTAAGATGAATGTAAATCTAGTTGAAACCACCTTATTTTACAGTGGTACCTTCACACTACCTGATTCAGTAGGTCCAACTCACTAAAAAGCAAGTTAGCTCAACAAATATGCTTCATGCTAAAAGACAGCTAGTTAATCGTGTGGAAATCCTTTCCATTATTTCATGACGTTAATTCAAAGACATATTTTCAAGCGTTAATCAAGCATTTTAAGATAGCACTAGGTGAAAGTGTAGGAAGAACACTCAACAATTAGAAAAGGTACAACACAATTGTATTTTCAGAATTGTTATACATCGTTTTTTACACAGCACAAAACACAGCTGAGTTGGACATTGAAATAAAAAAACAACTACAAAAAGGTTACAGTTTCATTTCCCAGCCAATTCTTTACAACATAAAACATGCCAGTATAGTTGCTCAACTTAGAGAACTGTAACAATATAAATCTTTTCTACTGCAGACTTTAAACACTCATTTTCCATATGAAACTTTGCTCAACTTAGCAGCGAGTTTCATATTGAGAACTTGTGCTTTCTTTGATAAGTTCTTTCCATCCAATTTCATTATTATTTTCTGTATTACTTCAAAGGTATGCTTGAGTTACTGAGCAAGTTGAGTGCTGAACGCACTAAACTTGAGGGTAGCTCAAGTTTAGTGCATAGATTAGTCCCAGCAGCATCACTATTGCAGAAGATACACTGCCCAAGCTGTTCATAACTTCCACCTCCTCCAGGACAATCCCAACATCCAGATGTGCATCGGCAGCCTCTGCACCCTCTGCTCAAATGACGATTCCGAGGACAGTCTCGGCTTTGGCCATTTCTGCGCATTCATCAACGTCCTAAGGGAGTTAGGGAAGGGTATTGGGGGAGAGACAATTCACATGTAATTAAATAAATAAATTAAGACTGACATTGATTGAGTCACTCATGGACCTTAGTTGTTGAAAGTATTTTAACAACTCTTAGGAGTTCTAGAGACTTAGACTTAGACTTAGACTTGACTTTATTGATCCCTTGGGAAGACTCCCTCAGGAAATTATAGTTACCAGCAGCTCACAGGCAAAAATGTGGCACACAGTAAGCATACACAAAATACAAAAAAATACAAATTAAATACAAAACAAAGAATATAAATACAACACAAAAGGAAATTATAGCAATTTGGTCGATAGATTGACCAGTGATATGGTATTGCATCGATAGATTGACCAGTGATATGGTATTGCAAACACAAATTCTCTTTGTAAACACAAAGAGAATTTAACATACCATGTACTCCCTCACCAGCTTCTCTGGATCTTCATTTAGGTACACACACAGACCTTTGAGGATGCACTCTCGTCTGACCTAAGCAGTGTCTTCCTAAATATGCAGATCAAAAAACAAAGAGAACAATCTCAAAACTCCAGCAGTATAGGTTCACACACTTGAAAACATAGCTGCATTCAAAGGAAGTGACAACAAAAGTGATCAGTGGCTTGCAGTCTATTTGAAAGATATTTAAAATTGTTAGTATCCCTTCATTATGCCATGACTAAAATGGAGTTTAACATCTCATTTAAACATCTAACTGAAGCTGTTAGAGGTTTAAATAAAGACATGAATATATCACCAAAGAAATATGTGAAAAGTACAGAATGGTCAACACAGTCTATATCCTTCTACTTAAATGAATATGCAAAGCATTCCATGTCTTACAAGTACATGGACAGTCTATGTGTGGGCATGGATAACGTCGCATATGCCGGTGTTTAAGTGTAAAATGTTTTAACAGGTCATATCTACGAGACAGAGAGAGACTACACTCCTTACATTTCCACATCCCCACGCAAATAAAGACAAATAAAACAGACTGGCCAAATAAATGTTTAGCTGAACTCTAGCTCTATAAGCTCTCTAACACTACATTCAGTCACTTTAGATCTGGCAAAACTTACTATTAGCCACTGAAATCTATAACTTGATAGCCGATGAGCCCCTTGACCACTTACGCAGGTGGATTACAGACAGGTGATCAGGTGATGTTCTGAAAGAGATCAGATATATTATCAGCCATTAAAATATGCAATTCATACTGAACTGAGTTGTATCTTTTAGTACAAGTCCCTTGAATGCCTCATGAATATAACCACTGGACACTTGTATGCAAGCACATATGTGCAGAACAATGGTGAATTGAACATGGTAGAAAGCAATAGTAACAAAGGTCAAAATGAGCACAAACAATCAACACAAAAAACATCAACATTTCAAAATTAAACCAATGAACTTCAATATTGTTTCTGAGCTACAATTATTTGGGGACAACAAAGAAGAGTCCAAAAAACCCCCAACATCTTTACAGCAGAGGAATATGTATTTTAAAGAAAAAAATAGAAAGCTCAAGTCTGTAATAATGGATAATATATTGAGAGTTTTAGCCTGACAAAATATACTAGAAATCCATAACTAACAGGTATTTTAGGAACATTTAACAAAGCTCAGAAAGCAATGCTTTCTGCAGGTTTCACCGACTGAAATGTAGGACTTTTTATTACCATAATTTAAGAATCTCGATGATGATAGAAAGGTACCAAAGTGTGTGTGTGTGTATCTACATTTACCTCCATAGTAACATTACTGAAATAGAATTAAAATAGTTAGAAATAGACTGATGTTAGATCCGTGTGTTAAAAATCCACTAAACCTCCAGGGAGCTCAGGAGGAGCAAACTGTGACATTTCCGGGGTCCATTTGTGTCTCTGGCAGCAGCTTTGTGACCCTTACACTACATATGGCTCTGCAGAGTTTTTTCGCACAGAATGTACCTAACATGGTGCGGCGATAAATGTAAACAAAAAGCTATCTGCCTTAACCTAACCGACTTAATCTACAGAACATGAAATAATGTGACACAAGTATGGAACAAGTAGAAAATGGTGCAAATGGTAAAGAAATTTTAAGTTACATATTTTTATATGGATTTAGATGAAAATAGTTGACTCTTACCTTTTTCAAATTAAGTAGATGCACGCCAGGAATCTCCCCTCTGCCCTTGAAAAAACCCAACAAGGTGCAAGCCAGTTATCTCGCGTGATTTTCCGTAATCTCTTGATGTCGCTGGATCCTCTTCAGCGGGAGATGAGTCTGACACAATAGCGCTTTGGAACTGACGTCACTGTGTTTTTTTTTATTAGATTAACTTTGACAAATATTGATATTGAATAAAATAAAAAAAAACATATATATATATATGTTTTTTTTTAAAAAAAACATATATATATATATATATATATATATATATATATATATATTATATATATTTTTATTTTTATTTTATTCAATATCAATATTTGTCAAAGTTAATCTAATAAAAAAAATATATATATATATATATATTATATATATATATATTATATATATATATATATATATATATATATATATATATATATGTCTTGGCACAGCCAAGATACTGCGCAGGACCCTCAAGCTCCCAGGCCTCTGGTAGAGGCCTGGGAGCTTATATATATATATATATATATATATATATATATATATATATATATATATATATATATATATATATATATATATATATATATATATATATATATATATATATATATATATCTTGGCACAGCCAAGATACTGCGCAGGACCCTCAAGCTCCCAGGCCTCTGGTAGAGGCCTGGGAGCTTGAGGAATTAGATGTATTCAAGTTGAGATAACGTCATTCAATCACGTTAGTTCAGTTGAGAGAAAAAACCGATTGTCTCGCGTGTTCTCGCGTGATATCCCGTGATCTCACTCGTTGTCGTCAGCACAACATCAGTCTAACTATAATGAATCATGTTAGCTCAACATGATTCAATTTTATAAATGTGAAGTCGTGGAATATCTTGTTTATCCAACATGATTTTATCACGTTTTCGCTTCAAACCCAACATTATTGTGTGAAAGGTACATGATATTTTTTGTTAATGTAAAACGCCCCGACGTTCTTTTTTTTTTGGCGGAAGATCTAGCTGACGTAATTGAATCACGTTATCTCACCTTGAATACATTTTATTCCATTTGCGAGAAAAAACCGATTGTCTCGCGTATTCTCGCGTGATATCCCGTGATTTCCCGTAATCTTGCGTGAACTTGCGTGATATCGCGTGATCTCACTCGTGGTCTTCAGCATAGGATCGGTCTGACTATAATGAATCATGTTCGCTCAACATGATTCAATTTTATAAACGTTGAAGTTGTGGAATATCTTGTTTATGCAACATGATTGTATCATGTTTTTGGCTCAAACATGCAATTATTTAGTTAACAGTACATGATATTCTTTTGTTAATGTGATAACCCCTGAGGTTCCTTTTTTACAGTGAGCGCCATGCAGGTGATGGTGGTGAGCCTGCAGAAGATGGTGGCTCCACCGACGACGTACTGAAAGTAGCAGTAAATGCCTAACGCCATGGTCTGGCGCCGGGCGAGCGAGTTGATGATCGCGGGAGCGAAGGTGACGGTCTGGAGCAGGTTGCTGAAGATCAGGCTTTTGGAGAGGATGAACCGCGGCAGCGAGGACAAGACCTCCGACCGCTCGATGGTGTACAAAATGAACAGGTTGGCCAATAAGGAGAAAAGAGTAAGAAAAGCAAAAACGCAGATGAGCGCGGGGACTGCTGGTCCGAGAGACAGGGTGGACTGGATCAGGTGTCCTTCTGTACGCCAGTCTGTTACGTTGGAGTGGCACTGAGAACTGATGTTTTCTGCCTGTGAAATCAGCGCCTCAGAAACATTTTCCATTTTCCATCAAGGTAAACTCTCAAAGAACTAAGATAATCTCAATCAGCTGTGTCCGCTTGCCAGGCTCTGTCTGCTCTCCTCTGCCTCCAGCCATCACCTTTATACTCTGATCCAGGTCCGGTGGAATGGGTGGGCATTGGGGGGCGTGTTTCCTGGCCAGCGTCAGCCTCCCTGGACCGGAAGCTGTTTTTTTTTTTTTTTACTGATCAGGGCCAGCCCAAGGCAAAGCAAACTAAGCAGCTGCTGTGGTCTCCCTCAGTGGAGCTGATTTTTTTGTGTGTAACAATTTCTATATCATTATAGTAACAAGAACACACAATGTTATTATAAAGCTGTGATTTGTTTTCTTTTTATGGACAGAAAGAAAAAAAATAAATTGCTCTTGGGGACCCCCTGGTGGCCAGCTCATATTATTGGAGGTCACCAATAATATGAGCTGCAATGTGCGATGTGCATCCCAACCTCCAAAGCACAGATGGAAGATGAGTTAGAAAAATAATGTTGCAAAAAAGGACAGAGAAAAGAAAGAGGAAGAATAGAAAAAAGACAAGAAAGGTAAGGTTTAGTGTGTTTTGATAATGTAACGTTTATATGGGGCTGCTAATAGAAAATTAGCTTGACAGCAACCTTGAACAGAGACGTTCAGCAGTGAACGGCACAGTGCCGTTTTCTATAGTATACATGCATCTAGGATATAATGTAAACAACACTGTCAGAGATGCAATAAGTTTATAATAGGTGTGCGAATTATTTAATCGTCAATTGTCTCTTGACTGCAGCAATCCTGAGGATTGTTTGCTTTGGCAATTCTGTTTACATCATATCCTACATGCATGTATCATATAGGACACATTTATCATCCTGCCGATTTATCAGCACTGATTTCCTAAATTTTGGCATAGATCAGCCGATATTTACATGTGGAACCGATCTTATCTGCAGATTGTATCTACTTCAGCAAAGGTTTTTAAAAAAATCATCCACTGTCCTGTTTGCTGTTCCATGACAGTTAACAGTCATCCCACTTTGCCAACACAGACTTTCTTGTTATATTTAGCGACATTTCAGACAAAGAAAACTAGTATGACCAAAATCAAAATCGGCATGTTAGGCTTTTTTAAGATCTGTAATTGGTGATCAGCCAGAAAACTGCAATCGCTGCAGCCTATGATGGAATACATATTCAGGACATTCTCTGATTAAATTCATTTGAGCACAAACAAAAAAACCTTTTTTACATAAACTTACAGGTTATGAGAAATCTCTCCAGAAGCTCTGTCAGAATAGGTGTTGCGTCGATCCGCCTTGGCCCATCAGATCCGGTTCCCTCCTGAGTCCTGAGTCTTCTCGTCGCGCCGCTCCGCGTCGCTCCCGCTCAGGCGCGCGCGCTCGTTCTGAGCACTGAGAAAACACGCGCGTCGCAAGCACGCGCTTGTTCAGCGCGCTTATCTGGAGAACCACGGACACCGTGAAAGTTGTGACACTTTCTTCACGTTTGCGTGAAAATAATTATTTAGTTATAGATATTAAATTAGACAGACAGACAGACAGACGGACGGACGGACGGACGGACGGATAGACAGATAGATAGATAGATAGATAGATAGATAGATAGATAGATAGATAGATAGATAGATAGATAGATAGATAGATAGATAGATAGATAGATAGATAGATTACAACCCGACCCTATAGTGCTATATGAATTATAACCATAATGCATTTTCATATGCATTAGTAATTTAGTGCTCCATCTCACCCAGCAGTTTCCGTTCCCCCTATATGTTAAATGGGGGAACGGCATCTGCTGGGTGAAATATAGCCATCAGATTCTGTTCCCTCTTCCCCGGCCACTAGGGGCCGTCCGAGAGCAATTAGTGTTTTTCTTTTTACCGTATAAACAACGAGTTCTGCACGATCAAATACACAGCTACAGGTTCTGGTCATAAAATTATAATATTATAAAAACGTTGATTTAAATAAGTAATTTCATTCAAAAACTATTTTCATTCATTACATACAGACTGATTTATTTCAAATGTTTAATGTTTCATTTCAGGTAGTGTACATTAACATGTTTTATTATTCCAGGAGCATTTCAAGGCAGGTGGTCCTTGAGTGTTTGTCAAATGGGTTAAGTGGTTCTCAGACTGAAAAAGTTTTCCAAATATATGTTGAAAAAACTCTTACCCCTCCCAAAAGAGGGAAGAACATAAATGTATTACTAACTTTATTTACCTTCAGAAGTAAACAACAGTCGGATCATGTGTAAGTCAAGAACTAAACCCACCGGACTTTGAAGCACATAAACACACAGGGACCTTTTGTGAGCGAAGGAACCTGTCATGTTATAGGCAGCCGCTGGACAGAGAAACAGGATATCAGCTGAGCTGGCTGGCTCCACATAATGAGCTCAGTGATGGAGACTGTCATCGTCTCTTGATAATTCCCAGGGTGCAAATCCTCTCCGTGATGAGCCAAGACATCGTCCTAACCTAAACCTAACCATGGCTGAATGCTGTGATCACTGACATCTCAGGTTATGTTGAACACATGATCAACATAATCTGAACATGTGAAAACGAACCCAGTCAGATCAAATCTAAAAGCAAATGCTCAGTGTTATGGGTATTTGTAGAAGTATGTTAATGACAATTGGAAAAATAAGTTAACTGGCTCACAAATTGTTTCATTCTTGCTGTCAGTGACAGCTTTCTGTGGTTTATATCAATTTACTCTTTTTGTCAGAACTCTGGGTTTTTGGGTTGGTTTTGCTTTTCATTTTATTTAGCTTCATGTTTTAGTTCACTTTAGTTTAGCCCTTATTATTTGAGGTCTTTTATGTAATTGGAATTGTCTCATTGCTTTCCTTATTTTCAATCCTTTATAGTGTTTCTAGTTAGGTTTATTCTTTAGTTACTTTAAGTGCTGTTCTTGTTGATCTGAGTCTATTGTCAAGCCTTCTTCAATGAAATATATATAAACTTCTGAGGAGAGAAGTTTATATCTCTCCTCAGAAGTTCAAGTTCAAAAACTGAAAAAAAGACTGGTTCTGGTTGAGCACCAATGAATTTCTGCAGATGATTGAGGTCAGTGGGCTCGGCATGATCGTGGGTGGTGCCTACCTGACGAACCGATGGGCCCTCCTCCTGCAGTGGGGGCCCATCCCTCCACCTTCCCCTCCGCAGCGGAACCGGAGATTGAGCTCACACTGGCGTGCTGCCGCGGCGGGACGGGGCATGTCGGAGTGTGTGGAACAGAGTGAGTTTCTGTGTGCGTAAGAGACAGAAAAGCAAAAGAAAAAAAGTTTGACTGTGTGTTTTTTGCCCAGCTGGCTGATGCAGAGGGGTCCAACACACAGCAGAACAGGTGAGTTTTCTGGTTTTAGTTTTAGTTTTCTATCAGTCATATTGTTTGTTACTGTGTGATATCCAGGAAACACAACATGCACAACATGAACAGACCGCTGGGAAGAGCAGGATGATTCTGTGGCTTAGATCTACTGACTGTGGGCCTTCATGAAGAGAAATCAGTTATATTCCTGGTGGGGTTAAAGTATTTACACCTCTGGACATTGAGAGCTATTTCTTCAGATCATAACCAAATACAACAAAACTCCCAAGTACAGCCATAAAATTAAAGCACATAGTCTGAGAATTGTTTTTGTGGTGATGCAAGTACTGCATACTAACAGAATAATCTCAACAAGGAGAGATATAACTCACTATCATAAAATATGCTGTATTTTTCTGCTTCACACCTTTATAAGCATTTTTGAGTAATAGTTACAGTGCTTTGAGAAAGTTTTCACCTCTCTTTTTTGTTTTTTGGTAAAGTACAAGCTATATTCAAATGTGATTTTGATTAATTTGCACAAAATACTCTAAGTTGGTGAATTAAAATCATAAAAGATATACCATTTGATACAATAACTAAATATATATATATCTTGCTGTAAAGCCATCTGTCCTTAAGGAAAAAGTAAAGCCTGATTGTGAAACCTTAACCCTAATCGTGAAGTCCAAAAAACATCAGGAATGCTTTCATTTCCTCAAGAACAACTTATATCGAGTCTCCGCTTGTTCTCCTGAATACAGTAATGTGTTTCATCCACCTCTAGGAATAAAATATATCAGGACTTTTTTCAGAGTAATCCGTAGCAAGACAGTTCTCAATACATTCAGGAGAATGAAACCTTTGAATTGTCTGTCCTGTTGCTGTGTCTTCATGCAGCTGGATTATCTGCAGCTACAGCAACATTAAACATCTTCTGCTCACCTCATCACCAGAGAAACTCCCCAACATTGCCACAAGAAATAAAAAATTCTTTAATAAGTCATCAAAAAGCAGGTGTACCAGATAATTTGAGGAATATGTTCTGCTTAAACAGGTCACTAAAAAAACCAAAGTGTTGGTGTTAGGTTGTGCTTCTCTACACTGAAAAAAATAAGTCATTGGATGAACATAAAAAAATTATGGAAAGGATTTCCACCTGATTACTTTGCTTTATTTCAGCACCATGTACTTGTGTTACTCCTATTTAAAGCAAATGTGTCAGGTCAACCTAATTTATTAAGATTATTCCAATGTAAGCAAATGTGTTGGCTCAACTTGTTACAATGGTGATTCAATGGGTGATTCTAAATCAAACATGTTGGCTCAACGTAATATATGTGGTTATTCTTATATAAACAAAATGAGTTGGCAAAACATAATTCATTAAGGTTGTTCTAATTTAAAACCAAATATGTTGGCTTAACCAGAATTATGGTAATGCAATGGATGATTGTAAATCAAATGAGTTGGCTCTACTCCATTCATTAAGGTTATTCAAATTCAATGAAATGTGTTGGCTCAACATATGCTTTAAAGGTTCCTTTAACTCAGTTACTATAGCGTGACCCAGTGTAATGCAATACAGCCCACCCAACTAATCTGCAATGTTTAGGACCAAATCATTGATGTTACTTCATTAAGATGAATGTAAATCTAGTTGAAACCACCTTATTTTACAGTGGTACCTTCACACTACTGATGATCAGTAGGTCCAACTCACTAAAAGCAAGTTAGCTCAACAAATATGCTTCATGCTAAAAGACAGCTAGTTAATCATGTGGAAATCCTTTCCATTATTTCATGATATTAATTCAAAGACATATTTTCAAGCGTTAATCAAGCATTTTAAGATAGCACTAGGTGAAAGTGTAGGAAGAACACTCAACAATTAGAAAAGGTACAACACAATTGTATTTTCAGAATTGTTATACATCGTTTTTTTACACAGCACAAAACACAGCTGAGTTGGACATTGAAATAGAAAACAACTACAAAAAGGTTACAGTTTCATTTCCCAGCCAATTCTTTACAACATAAAACATGTCAGTATAGTTGCTCAACTTAGAGAACTGTAACAATATAAATCTTTTCTACTGCAGACTTTAAACACTCATTTTCCATATGAAACTTTACTCAACTTAGCAGTGAGTTTCATATTGAGAACTTGTGCTTTCTTTGATAAGTTCTTTCCATCCAATTTCATTATTATTTTCTGTATTACTTCAAAGGTATGCTTGAGTTACTGAGCAAGTTGAGTGCTGAACGCACTAAACTTGAGTGTAGCTCAAGTTTAGTGCGTAGATTAGTCCCAGCAGCATCACTATTGCAGAAGATACACTGCCCAAGCTGTTCATAACTTCCACCTCCTCCAGGACAATCCCAACATCCAGATGTGCATCAGCAGCCTCTGCACCCTCTGCTCAAATGACGATTCCGAGGACAGTCTCGGCTTTGGCCATTTCATTCATCAACGTCCTAAGGGAGTTAGGGAAGGGTATTGGGGGGGAGACAATTCACATGTAATTAAATAAATAAATTAAGACTGACATTGATTGAGTCACTCATGGACCTTAGTTGGTGAAAGTATTTTAACAACTCTTAGGAGTTCTATTGTAAACACAAAGAGAATTTAACATACCATGTACTCCCTCACCAGCTTCTCTGGATCTTCATTTAGGTACACACAGACCTTTGAGGATGCACTCTCGTCTGACCTCAGCAGTGTCTTCCTAAATATGCAGATCAAAAAACAATGAGAACAATCTCAAAACTCCACAGTATAGGTTCACACACTTGAAAACATAGCTACATTCAAAGGAAGTCACAACAAAAGTGATCAGTGGCTTGCAGTCTATTTGAAAGATATTTAAAATTGTTAGTATCCCTTCATTATGCCATGACTAAAATTGAGTTTAACATCTCATTTAAACATCTAACTGAAGCTGTTAGATGTTTAAATAAAGACATGAATATATCACCAAAAGAAATATGTGAAAAGTACAGAATGGTCAACACAGTCTATATCCTTCTACTTACGTGAATATGCAAAGCATTCCATGTCTTACAAGTACATGGACAGTCTATGTGTGGGCATGGATAACGTCGCATATGCCGGTGTTTAAGTGTAAAATGTTTTAACAGGTCATATCTACGAGACAGAGAGAGACTACACTCCTTACATTTCCACATCCCCACGCAAATAAAGACAAATAAAACAGACTGGCCAAATAAATGTTTAGCTGAACTCTAGCTTTATAAGCTCTCTAACACTACATTCAGTCACTTTAGATCTGGCAAAACTTACTATTAGCCACTGAAATCTATAACTTGATAGCTGATGAGCCCGTTGACCAGTACTTACGCAGGTGGATTACAGACAGGTGATGTTCTGAAAGAGATCAGATATATTTTTCAGCCATTAAAATATGCAATTCATACTGAACTGAGTTGTATCTTTAGTACAAGTCCCTTGAATGCCTCATGAATATAACCACTGGACACATGCAAGCACATATGTGCAGAACAATGGTGAATTGAACATGGTAGAAAGCAATAGTAACAAAGGTCAAAATGAGCACAAACAATCAACACAAAAAACATCAACATTTCAAAATTAAACCAATGAACTTCAATATTGTTTCTGAGCTACAATTATTTGGGGACAACAAAGAAGAGTCAAAAAAAAACAACATCTTTACAGCAGAGGAATATGTATTTTAAAGAAAAAAAATAGAAAGCTCAAGTCTGTAATAATGGATAATCCATTGAGAGTTTTAGCCCGACAAAATATACTAGAAATCCATAACTAACAGGTATTTAACAAAGCTCAGAAAGCAATGCTTTCTGCAGGTTTCACCGACTGAAATGTAGGACTTTTTATTACCATAATTAATTAAGAATCTCGATGATGATAGAAAGGTACCAAAGTGTGTGTATCTACATTTACCTCCATAGTAACATTACTGAAATAGAATTAAAATAGTTAGAAATAGACTGATGTTAGATCCGTGTGTTAAAAATCCTCTAAACCTCCAGGAGCTCAGGAGGAGCAAAACTGTGACATTTCTGGGGTCCATTTGTGTCTCTGGCAGCAGCTTTGTGACCCTTACACTACATATGGCTCTGCAGAGTTTTTCGCACAGAATGTACCTAACATGGTGCGGCGATAAATGTAAACAAAAAGCTATCTGCCTTAACCTAACCGACTTAATCTACAGAACATGAAATAATGTGACACAAGTATGGAACAAGTAGAAAATGGTGCAAATGGTAGAGAAATTTTAAGTTACATATTTTTATATGGATTTGGATGAAAATAGTTTGACTCTTACCTTCTTCAAATTAAGTAGATGCACGCCAGGAATCTCCCCTCTGCCCTTGAAAAAACCCAACAAGCCAGTTATCTCGCGTGATTTTCCGTAATCTCTTGATGTCGCTGGATCCTCTTCAGCGGGAGATGAGTCTGACACAATAGCGCTTTGGAACTGACGTCACTGTGTTTTTTTTTATTAGATTAACTTTGACAAATATTGATATTGAATATTGTTAGTATCGCAGATACTGCGCAGGACCCTCAAGCTCCCAGGCCTCTGGTAGAGGCCTGGGAGCTTGAGGAATTAGATGTATTCAAGTTGAGATAACGTCATTCAATCACGTTAGTCCAGTTGAGAGAAAAAACCGATTGTCTCGCGTGTTCTCGCGTGATATCCCGTGATCTCACTCGTTTGTCGTCAGCACAATATCAGTCTAACTATAATGAATCATGTTAGCTCAACATGATTCAATTTTATAAATGTGAAGTCGTGGAATATCTTGTTTATCCAACATGATTTTATCACGTTTTCGCTTCAAACCCAACATTATTGTGTGAAAGGTACATGATATTTTTTTGTTAATGTAATACGCCCCGACGTTCTTTTTTTTTGGCGGAAGATCTAGCTGACGTAATTGAATCACGTTATCTCACCTTGAATACATTTTATTCCATTTGCGAGAAAAAAAACGATTGTCTTGCGTATTCTCGCGTGATATCCCGTGATTTCCCGTAATCTTGCGTGAACTTGCGTGATATCGCGTGATCTCACTCGTGGTCTTCAGCATAGGATCGGTCTGACTATAATGAATCATGTTCGCTCAACATGATTCAATTTTATAAACGTTGAAGTTGTGGAATATCTTGTTTATGCAACATGATTGTATCATGTTTTTGGCTCAAACATGCAATTATTTAGTTAACAGTACATGATATTCTTTTGTTAATGTGATAACCCCTGAGGTTCCTTTTTTACAGTGTAGATGGATTCATGTTGCTGAAACAGTTTCCTACCACCACAAAAAGCGGCAGTTATTTTCTATCTTAAAGGTATTTCAAGTCATTATCTGTACAATTAGTGTAAATTTTAAATTCTCCTTTTAATGAAAAGATCATTTATTTGAATAGAATGTCATATTGTACCTTGCAAAGTTTGTTTCACCAACTTCTCTGGGTACTGAGGCGTGTTTGTGTGGCTGTGCAGGGCTTAGTGCGGCTTTAATCAGCTCAGGGATCTGGTTTGTGACCCTACCACTCCGATCAAGTCCAGCCTAGATCTCTGAAAGGTTGAGAAGCGGTTCAACTGCTCATGTGCAGGAGATAAGCAGTAACTGTTTCAGACAGGCTGCTCTAATGTATGTAGACCACCTGTTGGCTGGGTTTTGGCTGGGTTTTGACTATATTGTCTTAGATACCACAATGAAAGCTAAGGAAGTTTCATAAATAAAAATAGTTTCTGAAATGCTTTCATCTCCAAAGCTCTGGTAAGATCCCACCTCAGTATCTTGATAGGTCTGATGTTAAATTAGGCTGAGCTTTACTTGTAGGACAACTGGCCACACATTTGACTATATAAAGGAGCTTATTGTTGACTCAATGACTGAAATGTACCCATGTCATGTTGCTGCAAAACAATCCCAAATCACCATCCCTCCACCACCATACTGGACAATGGGCTTAAAGTGTTTGAGCTCATATGATGGATTTTCTGCTGTTCATTTTAGCCACACCTTCCTTTAGTCTCATCTGTTCAATAGGTATTGTTCCAGAGGTCTTGTGGTTCATTTGGGTGCAATGAACATAATTCATGCCAGACGAGTCTTGGAACTTCATTGTTTTTTAAATGGCTTTTCAAAACCTCCCAGAGTGATGGGCAGTAACAGCTGCTTTTCTCAAATTACTGCATTGTGATATTTTATTGTGTTTATTTCACATTAGTTTGGCAAAAACCAGCCCCTTGTTCCATGAGATCCAGAGTTTCATTTTCAGTGCAGTGGTAACCTTTTCACACAAACAATAAACTAAAACAGTTCTATTATTGCCGTCTGAAAAAATGCACCAATCAGCCTGGAGGAGGGTCTTAGTGTTGTCAGTCATTCTCAAGTACATACTGCTAAATTTGCTAATGGTGGAGAACAACTTACCGTTACAGGAAACCCACTTGTCCGGTGTGGCTATGCTAACAAGCTTATCATTCATGACAGGCTTTGTCATAAATGCTGTGGCATAACAGAGGGGGAGTGTTATTGAAATGACTGGTTTCATACAAATGGAATGCAATATAATTAAGAATTTCTTGGTGGTGATCTTGTCTATGATCTGTCACTAAATTCTCCTCCTTCTTTCAGAACATCCCTCCTAAATACTGTATGTTAATCTGTAAAAGTTCTTCTGTGTGCATAGATTAGGTTTTGTGGGTAGCGGAAGGAGATGTTAGATATACTTTTCTTTCTTTGAAGTTCCAAGGGAAATGACTGTGTGCAGCTCAGTGAGAGACTAAACTCTCTCTGAAATCTTTAAATTCTCTTACATAGCCCTTCTAGGCTATATGATGCCAGCAGACATTAAGCAACCATCCAAACAGAATTATTGGATTTCCTTTGGCTCCGAGGAAGTGATCCATCGATGTGTGCAGAGGATTAGGAAGATGTTTGAAGGAAAGCTTTTTTCTTGTCGGCACTTTTTCTAAACTGAAATATTTATCTAGCTGCGCTGTGTTTGGGTGGTCCACGCCCTTTTTATTTTCTCCTTTTTTGTTTCTTTCTGTCGTTTTTTCTGTAATAATGACATGGCGAAGCTCATGGTTCTCTAGCCCATCTTTTTATCCAAAATGGCTTCACTTTGGACAAAGGTTTCCAAAAAATCTGAGATGAATTTCCTCTGTGGGGAGGCTGGACTCTGCCTCCGATAAGGAGGATCTCCTTCATCCAGCAGGTGAACTTGGTTTGAAGTTGTTTCTCTTCTACATTGAAAGATGTCATCTTAAACCAGGAAAGTCCAGAGTGTGATCTGGGGCTTTGAAGTTTATACGAAATACTATTATTAATAGACCGCTCCATCGGCAAGACATTCAGGGCATTCTGGTTAAATACAATCAAAGCAAGCATGTTAGCTTAGCACAAGCAGAATAAACGGCTCATGGTCTTCCTATTGAGATACTTGGAAGATTTCTTAGAGAAGTTTGTATTGATTTTCTGTTGTTCTACTGTAAGTTAGGTTTTTGGCCTGCAATAAGGCAGAGAGACAATGTTTGAACCTTTCTTCAAATCTCAAGTATCTTTGTCCGTAAGTAGTGTGTAATTGTTGTTTGACAGAAAATAATTACGTTTGTCTGCTATTTATATTTTTGTGTCATATTTAACATGTTAAACATGTCCTACCTTCGTAGCACATGTTACTTAGCAATGTGTGAACGTGAGACATGCAACATGTCCATGTTTATCTTTTTGATGTTGGAACAAATGTTTTTAATCTGTAGAAAGACAAAATGCAATCCTACAATTGCTAAAATTTTACGCTGCTCAAATTTGTTTTCATGTAGTGAATAAAGACGTTGAGCTCAGTGTCTTCGTCAGAGGTTTTCATGTCATTTCCTGAGGTTCTTGGTGCAGCGCCACCAAAGGAGAGGCATTGAGCAGGTTTTTGAAAGGGTTTGGTTGGTTTGACCAATTTTGGCATACCCATTCCGTAAATATATTTAATAAGGTCCTTAGCAGAGAAAGTTGTTGATTTTACTGCTGGTAATATATTGACAGCAACTTGTTGATCCATAAAATAGAAAAAACGTGTGACCCAGAAAGATAATAGACTGTACCGCTTTATTAAAACCAATGTGCGACACAGTTTTTCAGACCTACAATCATTTGTTCTTTTCTGATCTGTTTTATTGGAGATATTGCACTTTTCATCTAAAAGACCTCTGAGTATTTTAAATTTGCAAATTTTTTGACAGTTTGGACATCACTGGTTTAGGCAGTTTGATGCTTTCTGAATGATCCTTTTGTATGTTTCCCAAGATGTCCAACAGAAGACAAAAGCAATATGTTAATACATTTTCTGGGTAAATTGATTAATGGAAGCTTGAAAGAGTAATTTATTGGTTTTCCTTAGTTGTGATGTTGTGGAGATGGGGAAAAGCAGATGGATGCCTGTGTTTTTTTTTTCTTTCTTTTTTGTTTGCTTTCAGATGACAGTTTGTTTCTAGGAAACCTTTAATGCCATACTTCAGGTGATTGTCTTCAGTGAATGTCATGTTTGTCATTCATTCTTTTTCTTTTCTTTTGTTAATGGACAGTGAAAGCAGCGGTACCATGTATGTAATAATAGTTATGCATGAACTCATCTTTTTATTTTATCTCCAAGGTTTTTGTGGCTCTTGTGGCTCATATTTTTTTGAAAGTTGATGGATGAACACTTCTGATGCACATGTCTCTGGTTATAACACAAGAACATCTTGTGTTCTTGTCGGTTAGAAATACACTAGTTTAGTTTGTCTAAATGTCCAATTTTAGATATCTTATTTCTACAAAACTTCGACCTGCTGAATTTTATTTCAGCTGATTGAGATTTTAGCTTGGATTAATTAACAGCAGTCTAAATATTTGATTGATTTTAATATAATATTTCTTGATATTAGGAGCAGAGGTGACGTCACACAGTATATGTGGAAAAAAAGGAGCCACTACATACCAGAATTTACTGTTAAAGGGGCAGTATGTAAAATGTACTTTTTGAGCTTTAAATCCCTCTTCAAAAACATACTGGGAGTATAGCCTTGATTCTTTCATGGCAAATTTGAGAAATCTTTTAGGCTTGGAAGCCATTCAGCTGTACAAAATGCCTGGGGACACTGAGTACCACCTTTGACGCACAGCTTCTCCTCAGAGCTGCAGTTTCCAAGCTTCCAAGCAGCCACCTCACAGCGCGCCTCTCACCCACAACTCCCCAACTCAGCACCTTCAGACTAGCCAGCAGCAATTAGCAAACACCTGGTGAAACTGCACATCCGCTGAGCTCATTTTACTTCTCAGTGAAAAGCTGGTAAAAATATTGTTAAAGGTTTAATAGTGGAGCCACGTTGTGATGACTTCCTGAAGGCAGAGCTTCAAGAAGAAAAGCATTTTTTTTTAAAGAGACAGAGACCCAATTTAAATGTGTTAAATGAAGAAATCAAAATTCATTTATGTTATATTTGATATTTAGAACATTTTAATCACAACTGAAGTAAACATAGTTACTAGATTGTGCTATAAACTGGCACTATGTGCTGCCCCTTTAAATAACAAAGACAAAATGATCAGAGTTGTCTTTTTTAAGCAGAATTTACTATTGTCAAAAATAATTCAGGTAGCAACTGGAAATATCAATGTCTCTGTGTTAATTGTATGCAATGG